TCACTAGAATGATGTAATCACACGTAAGATGTAATCACGTGTAAGACATAATCACGTGTAAGATGTAATCACATGTAAGATGTAATAACATGTAAGATGTACTCACATGTAAAATACCTGTTTTGATAGCAGGCAAGTTCAACATGAAGATCAAATGAAATCATTGCTTGTGAGTGGATGGTAATTAACAAGATATCTGTTTGTGTTTGGCTGGTACTCACTGCCTGTTGTTCCTGTATCTTAACCTGCTGTTCCTCTGAGGCACCAGCCATTCGTCTCTCCACGACAGCCTGCTGCTCCCTCTTAGCAATGGCTAATTGCTGCTGCAGATCCTGCCATTCAAAAGCAACAATATCATATCGAATCAGTCTACATGGATAACTGAAACTGTAAATGAAAGGCTGGTCATACTGGATTTGGTGGGAAATAGGCAGAATTAATCAACTTGATCCATCAAAAGGATTCCATTCTTGAAAAAAAAAAGGATTAAGTGTGTATCTCAGAAACATGATAGAGACAAGGAACAATTTGTTTTGAGATTTTATGGGAATTCCCACCACAGTATTTTGCTGTGTGAATACTAAATACCTGTGACCAAGTTGCTGACAAAGAAGTTAGTTTAGCCATGTTTAGCTGACAACTTCTGAGACACAAGATAAAATTTGAAAGCAGAATTTCTGGCATCAGACATCAAGCTGAAAACCAATTAAGGACCAACTCAAACGAAACCTAAAGATTATAAATGGTTCTGCCAAAGATGGCTACAGAACTTTATACAGTGTAAGTTGTGACAAAACCACAAGCAATTGAACAGTTATTTTCTCACAGAAGAACTGCTCCTTTTACGCATATCTACTCTAAAGGTTGTCTGTGAGCTGATGAAGCCACAGATTGAGTTCTTCCACATGGCATGACTTCCATTTAACCACTTCACTCTGGGTCGAGTTATTGATATTTATGCTCCTGGGCTGGGCGCTTTTTAATTTTTTTCCGTTTTCAAAATTCTTCAAAAATTCACATCTTCATTTACTGGACGTGTACACCCAAAAGAATGACAGTCCTGTGGCGACTCTAATCTGACAGGCAACCTCCATTGACGTGTATTGCAGCCACGCATGCTGCCCAGTAAAGAGCCCCCATTATGTGGTGTCGCATAATTCCCTCTTTATTCTGGGAATTAGCCCAGTGTGTTGCAACACCGGACAGCCAAATTCCACAAGCACTCAGCAGTATTGTATCGCTAATCACTAGAGCCAGTGCTTTTGTCCCCACCGATAATCCGCAGGTGGTGGCAGCAGCAAACGATGATACTGTTTCAAAACAATGATGGATTATTTAAATATAAATATATGTTGGATAAGGGCAAAAGCGTATTTATATGACAGATCACCTCTGCTATTGGCCAGCACTCTGCACTAACAGCGTACGAACCTTCATTGGTAAGTCCCAGCAGTTTAGTCTGTTTCCAAGTTCAGTCACCCCAGCCATGAATAAAGGCCAACTTTTCCGGTCCAAGTGAATCCATTGTTGCCCATCAATGATAGAGTTACTTTCGCTGATGGCCCAAACTTTTGACTGACAACAAGTACCTTTTTAAAAAAATGCCCAGGATCTTTTTTTAAAAGAAAGTCCCGATTTCGGGCACCCTGGCCTCGTAGGCTACGCACCATGTCTCCGGTACTGGGCATCCCAGTAAGAAGCGGTTTTAAAAAGACTATCATTGGCTCTAGCCCAGAATCATACATCCAAGAAATCTTTCCCTTCCTACCTTCACTCTCTGTTCCATCTCAGTTTCCTTCTTGTGTAGACTCCTTTCAAGCCGCTTTCTTTCCTCATATGCAGCCTCATACTTTTCTTCCAACTCCTTCAGATGCAAACAAAAACACACTCCGATCAGAGAACACCGCTTCTTCCAGCGACAGGTTTGCTAATACACAAATCACTCAAAAATATCATACATAATTGATTTATAAACCGCTATGGAGGGACACCTCCGACAATAAAGTTATGACGGTTAGCTGAGTTTTGCAGGCAAAAGGTTGTGCACTTACTATGATCTGTTTAGTGAGATCCTGATGTAGACCATGCTTTGTCTGTACTTCCTCAATCAGCCTAGCTTCACGCTGCTCTACAGTCTGAAGCCGATGCTCTAGAGAGGTTTGGCAGTCCTACAATCAACAAGTGTGGATGACAGGAAAAAATTCTAATGGGGGGGGAAGCAACATATATCCAGCAAGAAATGAGTCCAAGTGGCACCCCCCAACATGTCCAATCGCTACACACACTCTAGACTGTTGTCACCGTCTCATATCTTGCTTGATATGAAGCATCATGTGTCACCATCTGGTGTTTATCTCAGTCACAGTTCTAGGGTGTCTCTGATAGTGGTTGAGCATGTGGACTATGCAAAACAAGCCGGCATCTTATGCTTGGTGGACACAGTATAAAACCTCATGTACACCAACCAGCCTCTGTGAAGTTCCGACACTTAATGGAAAGCATCGCTATCATTTCAAGGAATCTTTTGATAGACTCTGTCTTGATTTTGAAATTTTGTGTCAAGTAACTGATTTCCTGGCCAAAGTACAAGGGTTTACTATGAATGTCCAAAATAGAGCTCAGAAATGGCCTGCTGCATATTTGCCAAGTGCTTATTTCAGGGAAAATGGTGCCAAAAAAGCTTTAAATATGAACCAAACTAAATAGGATTTCATGTTACATCTGTTTTACTTTAAATATATAAAAATAAACTTTACCTTAAAATATCATGCCTTAACAATTCAGAGGCTTAGATTTTTTCTTAACAACTACAAGACTTCAAGCGTGACAGCAAACAGTTGTTTAACTCAGGCATACCATGCAATGTACCTGAAGATATCTATAAATATTCTCACAGCTCAAGAAGTTTCCTTTACAACTCCCTGTGACACAGATCACAACTACAGATGTAAGCAACAGCCTACCAGAGCCTCTTGCATCTTGTTCCTCATATCCTGACAGCATTCCCTCTGCATTCTACTCCTCCTTCGCTCCTCTTCCAGGCGATTTTTCTCTTGACGTAGGTTGACCAGGAGCTCTGTTGCCTCCTTGCTGGATTCCACTGCTTTGGACAGCTTCTTACGTAGCTGGGCTGTTTCACTACTGCTAGCAGTAGAGATCTGTCACAGTGAGAAATGCCGAGTGATACACACTCACAGCAGAACTACAATGACAGTGGAAACCTAGCCGCCTCAACTGTTCTGTGTGCTTCTTAAATGGTGCTCCAAGAGAATGTCAAATGCAAAGTCAATCAAACATTTGCAATTTGCTGAGATGTAATATATTGGCACTTACAATGTATATGTATGTTTGCTTGTGAGCCCAGTAGGCACTGGGCATAAAGATGCAAAAAAACTATAAAAAAAACCAGAATGCTGCCAAGCACAAACTATTCAACTTTTAAAAATTCTTGCAGATTATACAATTATATTTGGACATCAGACATTTCCCGACCATTTGCCTCACAAGTATTTGTCCAAACAAAAGTGGATGATACTATACAAAGTCTGCTGACGTTGATATTAAAACAGACTCAAAGTTGACTATGTCTGAGCATGAGTGGTCTACCGCTGGGCAATTAGTGAATTTTGCTAATTGATTAATCCCACACAAACTAATCACGATTAATCGAGATAATTGCCCAGTGGTAGTGTGGTCTAATTCCATGCTCAGGGTCCAGGCACAGAGCTCAAAACTTGACAAAAATTAATAGATATATAACAATTTACCTCATCAAGTTTGGCCTGCAGTTCTTTAACCTGTTGTCTTGATGCCTCCTTACTCTGCGGAATGATAAAAATCATCCACATCTAATCTGCTCAACATCCAATCATAATTACCTTGATCTTTTCTGTCGTGATAATGCTTGAGAATCAAATGTACAGCTGTGGTCAAATCTTTACAGACTTGGACTGAAAGTAATTAAATTACAGTGGGTTAAGACCCCACCAATTGAGGGGGTACCATTCTCTCTGTAACTGGTCAATCAAAGCATGCTTTATTCACATACTTTAGTTACACAGAAAGGTACATGTACTAATTCATCACTAACGCAAAAAGGTAACACGGAATACAGGTAGGTCAGGTCTTAAACTTATATTTAATTACTGTCAGTCCAAGGGTATAGACATTTTAATCATAACTTAGATACTTTCTTTTAAAACTTAGCTTCTGATCATATTGTTTAAACATCTACAGTGCTATGTGGTCAGCTGTTCACAAACACTGAACATCTGTTTAACCCTAAAAGAGCAGGGGGCGAGTCAACCACCCCTCAACACGTTTCCTCAATTTATCACAGCACACTTTTTTCATGCACAGAGCCGTCGGGTTTTAGTAATGTCCTGCAGTCATAATGACACCAGAAAATTGGACATACCATTCTTAAATGGTGCCTGTTTTTCAAGACAGGTTAGCCAGTAACGTATACTTTTTCACACATATTCAATGACACGGGCAGGAATGTACGTGGCCTTGGACTTAAAATAACCGTGTTAACAAAAAAACGTAAGATTGATTCAAACATTCACATTTGTACTGATGCCAATCTTTATAAAAAATCTGGAATGGGACAGCCGAGTTCTCAGGGGAGGCAGAATCCCCCCTCCCCCACTGTGAGATGATCCAAAATAACCCCGTTCTTTCAGGGTTGACCCCTTCGCTACAGAGGACTGCTACTACAGCACCATTGTGTGAGGATTAGTGCATACCACACATACAGTCTGTTCGCCATGCAGCTGCTGGTTCAATGGGGCCTGCTGCCTCACAAAGCCTGCCATGAAGGGCATACCACAGCCCAGCAGTCGCGGTCAAAATAATCCCCCCGTGAAGGGGTTAACAGCACATGTACCCGGTAATTACTATTTGCGTCATTTTATGTTTTATATATTCTTCTGTAAGAAATGACATCTTTTTCTTCATGTTTATCAATTAATATATGACAGTACACATGGCCCTTCACTTAAAAGAACTCAAGTCATGTACATTTTGGGGGTTAAAATATGAGCTGATTTGTTGAAAAACTGCATACGCATTCATGTACTAAAGTTCAAGAGCTGATATTTTTCACGAATCGTTGTTTTTAATTTCATAACATGTGCATGCCAGCCAAATTGGTTGGTTGGTTCATTTTCCCTTCATCTTAATCTGAAGTACAACTAGGAGATTAGACCGGCTTACAGCAAATTTGGATTGGAAAGTTATTTTCAACTGTTCCAGTAATCAAACAAGTTGAGGAACATGAAATGAAAATAAAAAAAAGGCCAAAATCCTGTAAGATATCAGAAATGTACCGGTATGCACGGGGGGGGGGGGAACAGACATCAAAACATAAACACAATGTGACATGACCGTGTGAGCTTCTACGTCCAGCCATGGAGGAATAACCCTTATTTCTCTGTGACTTTCCTAAACAGTTGCTATAATGATCAGTCAGTTACAAAGCCATCTCACCTTAGCCAGTTTAGCTTGGAGCTCAATCACTTTGGCTTTAGCTTCCTCACATGCCTTTGTAGTAGTCTTGAGATCAGCTTCCATTTTGCTAGCTCTCTGAGTGGCCATGTAGCGGTCCAACTCCAACTGGGCCATTGCCTGCTGGTGCTCCTCCAACTCGGCTCTGAAATCAGTCAGGCAATACAGGTACAATGCATGTATTCAACCCATCAATGACTGAATTCCAACATGACGTGGGCTTGATGATGTATCTTGTAAATTGTGCAAAGTGTTGTACGCTCTCTATAGAGCCAGAGGCAGTAGCCACTCACTATGGGGACAGACTGTTTTGTGCAAAGCACTAGTGGATCATTGTTTGAGTGAATCATTTTGCCCTGTTGTAAGCTTATTTATGTTCAGTACCAAATAAAATTTACACAAGTGAAAGAAAATGGCATTGCTTCAATGCTACCTTTTCAGCTGAATTTGCTAAGTGTCATATAGTCTTCAAATATGGGGGATGTGAGTAAATTATGAAATATGGGGATTCATTGCAAATGGCACAAATTACACTGTGGTTTCTCATGTGACACAAAAAGTTACAGTGTGATACTTGATATTGCTGGCAGTTTGACCACAACGTTTTTAAAGCTTTGCATTACGTCTGCAGAAG